AAAGAGGATATCCAAGTGACAAACACATAAAAGAACACATAAAAGGGTTTTCAACTTTTTTATTCATCAGAGAAATACAAATTAAAACCGTGAAATACTGCTACCCATGGTGCTGCTCATAATCCTGAAAGACGTGATCCCAAACACCATATTCCCAAATGTTGAAATTCTGAAAAGTCAGAATCCCTTAAGTCTAAAATCTCAAAAATCCTGGTCCCAGGAATTTAAAATTTCAAATATTGAAATCCTAAATGCTGAAATCCACAAAACCATACTTCCATGGTGGGGAGAGGTGGCTACACAAGAGAAATAAAAAGCGAAATTTGGAGGAAAGGATTGGCCGTGAAATGTGGCAAACTAAACTATTTGTCTGCGTTGGTATTCCTTCCAGCTGATTAAATTCTAGGAGCTTGTAATGAATTAAAGCTGCATTTACTTGAGGAAGCCAGCAACATTACTGAGTAGTTTGAAAATAATTATGTTCATGGTAGGATAAGAAGATATTCATGCATTGATGTTGCTGTTTGATCATCAGTATTGTGTCTACCAGACCTGTGGTCTGTACGCAAGTGCATGTGGAGTGGATTTCCAAATACTCAAGAGAACATAGAGCATGGGACAGAAGATGGGAGAATTTAATAGGGAGTGCTCATGTCAGTAGGTATCGAATCATAGAATTTCAAAGGAGCAGGGCCACGAAGAAAATGAATGCAAGCTCCAGCTGAAGCTATGCCCTGAAAGAAAAAGTGCAGCTCTTCACCACAGTAAAAGACTTCAAAATAGAGTGATAACCAGGCAAATCAGTCTTACGGGCAGCCTCCATGCATTTGCCCAAAATATATCCCTGTAATACATTTTGTTGTATGTCAGATTTTCCCTTTAGCTATTTTATGTTTTGGTGATTTTTTTTTCTTAGTTTTTTCCCAGTATTTCAAATTGCTAACACTTTCTGTGATTGTTTTTTACAATTCTGCTACTTTATTTTGCTATTTATACTTTGGCATTATTTCCAGTACTGGAAATATAAACTATAAAAAGCCTTTTGGAGATTTTAAAATTTATTTTATGCATTTTTTTGCAGATTTAACTCTGTGGAAGTGCACTGTTACTATGTTATCTTTGTGTAAGCAGTGTGTGTCTACATAAGAACATGGAAACTTTCTCAGTAAATAGATGTCCTTTTTGTATCTCTGCATTTGTGGAAGATAAAATTTCTCAAGATCTCAGCTTTTGGATGACTGCATATATGGTGGGGCATATCTGGTTTTTGATTGGTATCAGAAAACTCACCTTGTCTCAGTACTGTATTTCAGATGATTCCATTTACAAAACTGGGTGTACACTGTTACCAATCGGAGTGATGTGCATTTGTATGTTTTACTTTTTGACAGATGGTCAGTGATTTTTAAAGCTGGAACTCACTTTTTTTGGTATATTTTAGAAACCATTCTTTTTTTTTATTATAGCAAAACATTTATTGGTACATTTTAGGCATACATAATGCTAACACTTATCATAAGGAATTTGCACCTATACATGGTACATCCTGCTTTTAAAGGTGGGGTTTCTACTCAATGTTTCTCTTACTTCCCATTTTGCTTACTTCAGTAGGTAGTGGAAAACACCAAAAGTTTTATTTTTCTTTGAAGCAAGAAAATAAAAATAATCTTTTCAAAATGTAATTGTAAAATAATTATAAATCTGCAACGATGTACCATTTAGCCCATTCAATCTGTTCTTGAGAAATTTGTCCTAAGATACAGTATAATCTAAAACAGATCCACAAATCTCAACTAGCCAGTCAAACCAGGCCCACCATCTGTTTTTATAGTTTGGTTAACAAAAATTAAAATAACAATTTATGACATAGGAAAAGTACATAGAATTCAACAGCATCCATAAATAAAATTTGAATGGAACACAGCCACATTTGTGTGTGTAGATATGTATGAATATATTTTGTAGTACAGGGTATTGAACCTGGGCCTTTGCACTAGGCTACATCCCCAGCCCTTTTTAAATTTTATTTTATTTTATTTAAAATTGTAATTCTGTGAACTGTATACCAATATAAATATTCTTACTATTTGAGAGGTTGAGAATAATAAAAATCCTTTACACCTTATTTGGATAAACATAGTAAAGACTAAATCTAATTTGCAAAAATAATCATCTAGCTATAGGGTTAGAGCCAGCAATAATTTTCCCAACGTTTCTGTAATACTATTTTCTAATTGAATGAGAAATAAAAATCTTGCACTGTTTTTTTTTTTTTTTTAATCCACTGTCATCAGGGAATGTGATACTCAGGAAATGTGATAGTCTTCTTAAATGTTCTGAATGATAGATACAATGTGTGTTACCATGATGCAAGGACTTACATAATGGTTGGTTGGGAGGGTCTAAATTCTCTCCTGTTGTTTAATATTGAGCACATGCTGAGAAATTGATGGATTTTCTCAATTAACTTTACTTTGAAGAATTTAAGCATTGTGATAAACTGATCTCAAGTCTTTAAATTTTATTTGATTCTGTTAAAAATTTTATTTTGTTTTAGTTTAGTTTTTTGAGACATGGTGTCGGTGTGTAGTTTGGGCTGGTCTTGAACTCACTATGTAGTTCAGACTGGCTTTAAATTCTCAGCAGTCCTCCTGCCTCAGCTTCCCAAGTGCTAGGATTATAGGTGTGTACCGCCACACTTGGCACTATATTTTATTCTTGAATATATCTTTTGATAACATTTTCTTCCTATTTTTACCTATCAACCCCAGACCATTTCTTATTTAACACTTCATTGAGTTTATTCCTGTTTAGCTGTTGAAATGGGACAGAGCTTACTAATGACTCCCACATATGTATTGAGAAAGAGCTTTCCTGGAGTACAGGTACCCATTGCGGTGATGTGATGTCCAGCAAGCTTGTTTCAGTCACTTCGTGGATATATTCAGGAAGCCTAGAGGAAAACAAATATCTGAGAGACTAAGAAATGGTTATAACACTTCTTTTATAGAAAAGTACTGTCTTCTAAAAATTTTTAAAGTTTTCTTTTGAATTCATTTTCCTATATTTTTGTTATGATACATGATTCTTTCTTTTGTTAGACATGATATTTTCAGGTAATATTCCTTAAAACCCTCAACAGCCAAAATATATTTATTAAAGTTTAGAGGAAGAAGTCATCTGGGACATTATCCAGTGGAGTTTAGTTTAACAAATTTAAAATGGTGTCACTACCTAATTGCCGTGAGGATAATGTAACTTGTAGATAACAAGACACGTAAGAACGGTCCAAAAGTGGTTTTGTTTTGCATCAGTACTCCTATACTATGCCCGTCATTTCTTTTCTTTATAAAATCACAACAGCTATAAGCAATTTGACATAGTACTCATTTAATTTCTTAAGAGGAATTAGAAGCTTGTTGCTTCTATTTTTCCACATAGAACTGAAGTTGGAAGTTTATTTTAGTCTACAAGTTGTTATTTTTAAGAAAAATTCTTAGGCTACTCAAAGTACTGCAGTAATTGACCATCATAGTGACTCACTGCCCACTTGGAATTCTCCGATAGGTAGAATTCTTTGAGCATCTATAGCCTTTGTAAGCTTTCACAGGAGGGCTTACGAAACTCCTCCTGCTAACTCTGCTTACCCTATCAAGGATGCAAAGGAAGCAGGGGAGGAACAGCAGTACCTAAAGTATCAGTATTTTCATCTGTTCCCCAACACTAAAGAGGAGCAGATGAAGCCTAGTAGTGGTTTGCATTAAAGGAAAGGAATTTTGAATGTAGGGGAACAGCAATCTTTCATAAAGAACAATGATGAATGATAGGATATTGAGCAAGACATTGTTCTTATTATACTGTATAGTAACTTAACTTTACCTTTGCTCTGGAGGGAGATACTATCTCTGTCATCTAAGGCTGTTTGCTGTACAAATACCCTTGAAAAAATTGACCAGATCAAAGACTCAGTGTTATGGCTTGCAAGATGAACAGAAACTTGAGAGACCCATGGAGAATTATCTGTCACACTGTTTTACCTACATAATGTGTTTATTACTCATCTTCCCCTAAGAACATTAAACTTCATGAGGGTAGAGATTTTGTCTGTTTTCTGTCTTTGGTGCTTAAACAGTGCCTAACTACGAGTAGATGCTTGATAAATATTTGTTGAATGAATGGATGCATGTGAATTATTTGATTTTCTAATGATATATTTTAGAATGATGAAAAAATAACATCTATAGTTCTATTAACACAGCTTTCTGATATTTTGATATTACTTTTAATTAGGTTCTGAAAGTAAATTTTTCTTTTAACAGGGATTGTATTTTATTACTAAGTCTGATAAACAAAGATTTAAAGAAATGCCATGAAAATGGAAATTTTTACTGAAATATGCTGTGTATTTCAATATGGTTAGAACCTTTGAAGCAAAGAACTGTGTGTAGTCACAAATCAGTAATAGCAGTGAATACCACAGCATATTGAGTTATGTTATACCACATGGTTTTAATTAAAATCTCAGCTGAAATTTTTTTGCTGTAAGTGGTTAGATTCAATTTGGTTAAGTGCAATATTTGATTTATTCTAAAAATTTTCCATTTGTTCTTTAGATTTACATAAGTGTTCTATTTACATTAAGAATGGGAATATTGGGCCGGGGATTTAGCTCAGTGGTTCCGCTGCCTGCTTTCCAAGCACAAGGACCCGAGTTCAATCCCTGATAGCAAAAAAAAAAAAAGAATGGGAATATTCATCTCTAGGTTGTATTTAGTCATATTGCAATATTGGGCAGTATTATAGACTGAGAAGAGTAGAGTTGGGAGATTAGCCCTGTCACCAATATGCTGTATAACCTTGGACAAGTTCCTGAATATCTGTACACATTTACCATTGTGTTTTGAGGAACTCAGCATGAATACTTTTTAATGTCTCAGTTCCAGATCTCTCTGGTTTTTGGACAGCCACACCACTATCTTTTATCATTATTTTGTTTTTAGGTGATGTACTTGTTGCCGTAAATGATGTTGATGTCACCTCTGAAAACATAGAAAGAGTTTTGTCTTGCATTCCTGGACCTATGCAGGTATGAATAGTCTTCTTCCATATTCTATAATAAGTTACATAAAATAAGTATATCTTGTACTATTTTCTTTTAAGATTCTATAAACCGTCAAGTATAACAGGTGCATTACATTTATACCGGGATATTTAAAAACTTTTAGCTCTTTCTAATGTTTTTAGCTTTGCGGCATTGTTCTAAAAAGAGAGAAAATTGTCTACAAATAAAACTCATTCTAAGAAAACAGCAATAACAACAATAATGAAAACACATAATTACCAAAACATATAACTACCAAACATATATCTGTCATATGTGCCGATGACAATCTAGTTCCTAGAAGAATCATTTTAGGGCCGGGGATTTAGCTCAGTGGTTCCACTGCCCGCCTTGTTAAGTGCAAGGTCCCAAATTGATCCCTGGTTCCAAAAAAAAAAAAAGAATCATTTTAAATAGTCATGGAATTTATTTTCTGACTTATTGTAATCACTATTGCTGTACTTTTAAAAAAGTGTAGTTTTAATTTATTGTGACAGGTAAGCTTGTTAACTTATTGGCTTGGATACTGCATGGGGGAGTAGTAAAACACATTTATGGGGTATCTGGTTGGGTCATGGAGGTGTGATCTTAGAGTCTGTATCTAGTCCTTGGCCCCTTCCTCTCTATTGCAAGTCTCCTGCTTTATTTCCCGGCCACCATAAACTAAGCACCTTTGCCCCTCCATGATCTTCTGCCATGATGTTCCTGCCTTGGAGCCAGCCAACCATGGACTGAATCATCTGAAACTGTGAGCAAAAATAAAGCCTTCCTCCTTTAAACTGTATGAGGTATTTGGTCCCACCACTGAAAAACTGACTAATACATGAGTTATACATTTTCTTGCATTTTCCGTAATCTAGGTACATGTCCTGAACTTTTGTTTAGCTGTGTAATGAATTACTTTTCATTCCTTGTACATAAAAATGAATTTTTTTTATAATAAGTCACTCTGATACTTTAAATATAGACATTTTGTGTAACAGATAACATTTTAAGCTATTAAATGTATTTTGAAAGCACTATACCTTTTTTAAAGGATTCTTTTTCTTATTAATATCAGGAATTAGCTTTTTCTTTTACTTGAGAGGTAGGAAAGATGATATCCTTTAAATGAGTTAGAGGATCCATCAGGCAGTAAAAGGATGAAGTAATTTGGGGATTGATCAGATTGAAGAACAAAATCCCTGACAGATAGAATCTTACCTTTATCTGATTTAGATTCTGAAATAAGACCCATGGTAAAATTCCTTGTTTCATAAGAAGTAAGATTACCCTTATGCTCACTTCTCTGAAACATACACATGTACATTTGGGCAGAGAGAGAGAGAAGGGGCTGGGAATGTAGCTCAGCGGTACAGCGTCTGCCTGGCAAATATGAGTCCCTGAGTTCAATTTCTGGTACCAAAAAAAAAAAAGAGAGAGACAGACAGACAGATTGACTCTGACGTTATAAATTTAGCTATCTTTAGAAATGTAAAATGAAAGTGCTGGGATAATTATGACAACCAGTGACCAGCAATGCCTAGGAATAGATAGGGAGATGTAGGTGGAGACAGGGTTGTATCTGAGATATTAACAATCAAGTGGACATCAGTTACTCATTGTGCTAGAGTAGGGTGTACTGTTATCCCCTTTAATCACTAGGGATCCTATTGTGCATTAACAATGCCAGGCAGCAGCTACTTACCAATCAGTAATGAAGAACTGGACCATTTTAACAACTGAACCAACTTCCCTCAAGTAAAGTGATTGCCTATCAGCCCTCAGTGAGGGCTCCCCCTTTCTTGCCAATGTTGGTTGCAGATAGATTGCCAATATTGTGGGAGCTTAATCACACTTATGTTGATGACATAGTTGTATTATACTTATATTTAATTAACAATTACAAATTAAATCATGCACGCTTGACAGAAAAAAAGAGAAGGAAACAATTTGAGTTCTTTTGCACCAATTCCACCTGCAATTAATGTGTGCTCATTGAAAATGCAATAGGAGTCATATATCTGTGTTTGTCCAGTTCATTTCTTATGGCATGAGCATCTTGCTGCATTATGTGTCATTTTGACCATAAAAATACATGTTTTTATACAGTATAGCTCTTAATTGCCAGTCCAGTTAGGTCTGATGCCAAACATGAAGAAAAAAAAACAAGTTTGTTTTGAAAATGGAAAAAAAATTGACTGGGTTAGATTTATCATATGGAGAGACTATGTTATCCTCCAACGTGGCATTGCTTTTCTAATCTATTTTCAAAGGAATTTTACTAACTACGACTGTATAATATAATCTTATCATAAGTATTATTTAAATATTTTTATTATTTTCTTATGAAATTAGTATAAGTTCATTATAGAAATTTTGGAGAATACAAAAAAGTAAGGGACAAAGTCTCTTAGAAGCCCTACTACTAAAGATATCTACTATTATTAATATTTTGGAGTATTGCAATCTAGTATTCTTCTGAGGGAAAACATGTATGCATTTGTTTTACTAGCAGGATTGGTGTTGTAGCTATGTCTTTCTCAAAAGCATGCTCTTGCATTTAGGACAATGTATCTTGAGAATTGTAAGAGAATTTAAATTATTTTATTTAACTAGATACCATATATATATATATGTGTGTGTGTGTGTATATATATACATATATATATATATGTGTGTGTGTGTGTATATATATACATATATATATATATGTATATATATATATATTTTTTGGTACCAGAGATCAAACTCAGGTCCTTGTGCTTGCGCAGCAGGCGGCAAAACCACTGAGCTAAATCCCCGGCCCTAGAAACCATATTTAATTAGTAGACCACATTTTTCACACTGTGTTAGTGTTAAAATGGGAAGTAATCTGTAAGCTTTTTCCTAGCAGCAATTTCTCTGAAGTTTAAACTAGGAGTCCATGGAGACAGAAGTAGGATTAGGAGGGAAATTAGGGCTCTTGTGTACCAGCCAGTATGTTTGTGTTTCATTGTTTATATCATTTTCTTTTCAGTTTTCTGTTGCTGTGCCAAAATACCTGAGAAAATCAGTTTATAAGGAAGAAAGATTTATTTTGGCTTATGATTTTCAGAGCTGTTAGTCCATGGTCAGTTGGCTCTGTTGTTTTGGGTCCTGTTGAGTGGCAGAATATCATGGTAGGAATTGTGTGGTGGAGCAAAGTTGCTTGCTTCATGGTGCCCCTGAAGCAAATAGAGACACAAGAAGACACTGGGATCCTAAAATCCCCTTCAAGGTCTTACCTCCAGTGACCTCCTTCCTCCAACTAGGCCCCATCTCCTAAAGTTTCTACCACTTTCAATAATGCCATGTACTGATGACAAAGCTTTAGCATATGGGCTTTTGGAGGACATTTAAGATTCAAACCACAACATTTTACTCTTGGACCCCGAAGGCTTATATCCATTGCACAGCACAAAATGTATTTAGCCTACCTCCAAGAGTTCTCAAAGTATTAAGAGTTCCAGCATTGCTCAAAATTCAGAGTCCACAGTCTCCTCTGAGACTCAAGACAAACTCAAAACTCAGTTATAAGCCCTTGTAAAAAAAAAAATCAAAAGAACAAGTTATGTACTTCCATGATACAATGTCATGAGGTAAACATTCCCAGCCCAAAAGGGAAGAATAGGAAAATAATAAGGGATCAAACCAAAGTAAGACTGAAATCCAGCAAACATTAAATCCTGCAGCTCCATTTATGGCATCTGGAGCACACAATGGTATGAGCCCCTGCTTGGTCAGCTCTGTCCCATGTGGCCACTCCCAATCTGGCACTGCTCACTGCCTGCAGCTTTGCTCAACAAATGTTCCATGCTTCTGCATCTCTAATTTTCTGGGGTGTCCATTGCAACTTAAGCTTAACTTTCAGAGCTTTACTGTATCACCCTGTGAGGGGCTGCTTGCAGAGAGTTCAACCCTCCACACACTGCCCTGTGGAAAATCTACGTGCACCTACTCCAACCACAGCTGTAGTGGTCTCTGAGTCCCTTGCTAGCTGAACATGGAACATACACACACACATATATCAGAATTTCCTAGACAGCCTTGTATAGGCAGGGTACTCCAAGACTCTGTTCTCAAAGGAAAGTTTTTGAAAGGAGTACACTTTTACAACCCTTGAGCTGTTCTGGGAGTAGTGTGACTTACCAGTTCCTAAGATGCCTTCAAGGCATCTTTCATTTTGGCCAAGTGCAAAGCACTTCCTTTCTTTTTAATGGCATTAATCTCCATACCCTCCTTAGGCACAACTTTTGTTTTGTTTTGTTTTTTGAGGTGGTCTTGCTTTGTACTTCAGGCTGACCTTTCACCAGTGATCCTCCTGTCTAGCCTTCCAAGTGCTAGGATTACAGGTGTGTGCCACCACACCCACCTTTTTGGGCACAACTTTGAAATCACTCATTCTCTTGTCAAATGCCAACATTTTCAAATCTTTTTTCTGTTTTTCGCTCCTGATTCTCACAGCAAATCTGGCCAAAAGCAGCCAGTAATACTCATGCCACAGCCTGAATGTTGTGCTGCTGTGATATTTCCACTGCGAGATTAATTAGTTTTTCTCTTTTAAACTCAGCCTCCCACAAAGTCTCAAGACATGAACAAAATGCATTCTGATTCTTTGCTACAGTGTAAAGTGCATGACCTTTAGTCCAGTTCCTAATAGAGTTCTTATTTCCATCTGAAACCTAATGAGTCTGGCTTTCGTTGTCCACGTTTCCATCAGCATTCTAGTCTTCAGAGTCCTTACCAGAATTGCCCATTAAGCTGTACTTACAAATTCTAGACTGTCACTAGCCTACTTCTCTATAAACTTTTCTAAACTCCTCTGGAAAACTAATTCCCAAAAGCTTCTAAACTATGTTGTCAGATATAGTAATAGCAACGGCCCTACTGCTTTGTAACAATTTGCTGACATTTAAGATCCAAACCATAACAAACCTGTAAGATAGCAATTATTACTGTATCTTTTTTATACATGAAGACAGAGA